GGACGCGGCGCTGCTGCAAGGCGTGCTGATGCGGACCGAGGGGGAGCCCAACGCCTCGGATGTAAGCGCCGGAGCGGAGTCACGGGACGCGTTCGGTGCGGGCCGGGGTGTGAGTCAGCAAAGCGAGAGGAGCACGGGGAGGAGCCGGCTGCCATCCCTGGGTCAACGCGCAGCGCTTTGCAGCGAGCGCCCGGCTGAAGCACAGCCGAGCCGGGGGGCTGTAACACGCCCCCTGTCCTGCTGATGAGTGCATCCCCCCGAGAGAGAGCCCTGTGATACCGTTCCCCTTTTCCAAGGGGAGGGGTAGATCGGGAAAGGTTTGGGAAATTGCCAGGAGCCCTGTATGTGTGTGGTGATGGGAGTTCACCCCCCTCCCAGCTGATCACCACCCGTATGATCCTTTGAACCAGGGGATGGTCTCTTGTTGGGGCCTCTGTTTTTGGCGTGCTCCCAGCCACAAGTCTGCCGTTGCTCCATACCTGGGATGAGGTGATAGGGACAGGGGTGGCTGTCACGTGGGATTATCACTGGTGAATCTTTGGCCATTGGCGGGGGCAGAGGCGCTGTTGGGGCCATGAGGGATCCCAGAGGAAGAAGTACCCCAGTGCAAGAGGGGTGGGTCCCTGTGGAGCCTGGGGGCAAGCAGGCAGCTGTGCTTAGAGCTGGCAGAGGTACAAGGAGGGAGGTCTCCCCCATGGGGGCTGCTCCATGATGTCAGCCCCATGGTCAGGTCAAGGCCCTGAGGGAATCTCGAAGGGTGAGAGGAAGAGGGAGCCTGGGAGGAGAGGCCAAACACACTGCCAGTGTCCCTTAGCTCATGTAAAAATCAAAGTGAATTGGGAACTTATCTCTGATGTAATAATATTTCTGCTTTGAGAGTGGCTCTGTGCATGAGCTGTGGGATGAGCCAGGGGTCTGGAGTCATTCCTGGGACGCAGTGAGCAGGGATCAGAGGAAGTGACTCTTGATGGCCAAAACCCCAGACTGGCAAATTCACCTTTTCTCTGAAATTGAGGCATTTTGGAGACACTGTTCTCTATTTAAGGTCAATCCTTCAGAGGGAAGCACTTAGCCCCACTTAAACTGGATAGACCAGGGTATATTTCCAGCCTTGTGGACCCTTGTGTCAAGACCTGACTTCTCTGCTGCTGCATTCTTGTTTGCAGGTGGTGAATTATGCTCCCTTCACGCTGCTCCCCTCTGCAGTACCAAGTGCCTTGTTTCAACAAGCATACGCCGTTCAGCAAGATTTTAACCTGCTGGTGGATGCTATTAGCCAAAACAAAGAATTCCTGGAGCATACTCTGGCCAGGTGATTTTCTTGCGTGTTCCATTTTAATGATGTACTTTAAATGCAAACTATTTATCACCCTTCAGACATTCCTACTTTCTGTCCGTTCATGTCCTTCAAGCTGAGGCAGGCATTCCCGTACTCTGCAGGAATTGTCTCATTTGCTGCATTATTTGTCCTAAGACTAATTTCCATGAAGTCTCTGTGTTTTGGGGTCTCCTTGGGCCTCAAAAGATGGAACATCTGGCCAAGAGTTCACTCCCTGCAGTGATCTTCAATTTTACCACTGTTTCAAGCTTGTGAATTCTTACTTGTGAGTTTGCTGGCCCCTGGGCCTGAAATTCAAATTGCTGGAGGCTTCTTTGAATCCTAGATTTAGTAGTCTGGTTTGGACTTGTTTTGCATCTGCCTGTGGCTACCTGATAACCACCAGCTCTGCTGCCTGCCCACAGCTCTGAAGAGAAGGTGTTTGTTCCTTCCCTCATGCCTATCTCTGATCAGTGACTCTATGTCCCCTGCTTTTCCAGCCGTGCTGGGAAGGTGATCTGCAAACTCTGGGTGCTGGAGGACTGTCAGCTCTGCCTCATGAGCTCTGCTTGTTTTATCTGTGGCTGTTGCCCTGTGCTGGAGTGACCATCCCTGACTGTGGCCCCATAATCTGTAGGGCTGTTGCTTCCACAAAACCCATTTCCCTTCCTGCTGGCTCTTGTGTGCTGTCTGTCTGCGCGTGTGCTGGTGTCTCTCTGGCACTGGGACAGAGCAAAGGAGACAATTTTCCAGCATCATTCTTGTTTTGGTAAAGCCTGGCCTCTCAGAGCTATTTTAATGCTTGTGCCTGTTCCAGAGCTGCCTGCAACCAGAGCTTGTGGGTGCATGTTTATACCTGTGGTTAAGAAGCACAGCGCCTGGGGCTTGCGTGCACTCAGGCGCCTGCCCTGTGCTGCCTGCTGCGCAGTGTCTCAGGGCAGCTCCTTGGAGGTGCTGCTCACAATTGGCTCAGGAATTTGGGACCCTGAAGAAAAGCCAGACCCACTCTAGCAGGGCCGCTGAAGCACTTGGCAATACTCTGCATGGAATTTGGAGCCCAGCATGGCAGGGGGAATTTGATGAAGCTCCTGAAGCTTCTCCTGTGAACTCTGTGTGGAGGTACAGAGAGACTTAGGATTTCTGTCCTTTATCTGCAGAATTCTGCTCCATTTCTTTGCTTTTGTCTCTCTGCCCTGCAAACGGAAGTCACCCTTGCACAGCAGTGCTTTTTGTAGAGTGTCTGTGCTGAGCAAACTGGATTTGTGTTATGGTTATGCGCTGTGGGCCTTGATGAAGAGTGTGTTCATGGTGAGATGCTTAACAGTGCTCTAGGACTTGGTCTAGCCACAGCCCTGCTATTTGTGCTGAAGAATGTCCCCGGTAAGGATTTTTTCTGGAGAGGAATTCTGTGACAGCACACAGGGGCTGATCTGGTCTTTCTTTCTCTCTAGCACCATCAAGGTAGATGACTTCACAGCTCGGCTCTTCAGCATCTACATGCAAGTTTTGGAGGAAGGCTTGGCTCAGGTACCTTGGCAGGAGACCCCAGTGGTCAGCAGCTGTGCCCCTTCGCAGTGCGGTGGGATTGCCTGGTCTCTGTCTGCAAGCTTGCTTGCTGCTGTGGGCTTCGGACTGTCCTGTAGTCAGGCCAATTGCTCCGTACGCTACGATGTCTCGGTTACAGCTTGTGAGCTCAGGACCTTGCCCTGGTTGACAGTCATGCCCTTTGGTTAGTGCTGCTGGAAACAGTCAGGCCTTGACTGGGAGGATTTAATATGGTTTGTCTTTGTCCTCTGGGAGCCTTGGGAGAGTGCAAGGACCTGTGCTGTGTCAGGATCTGCACAGGCCAGCTCCCTGAAGGAGCTGCTTTACTCTCACGAGTGTTGCTAACTCCTCTGGAGTACTGAGGAGGGCTGTGCGCCCTGAGCTAAGGGCCAAAGCACCCACGGATGTCTTGCAGAGGTTTTCATCAAGGTGAAGGTGATTGGATTTGGCCCAGGAGGATTTTGAAGCAAGGTCACCAGAGACATTTGCAGTTAAAGGCAACAGGAGAACCTACTTCACCTCCCCTCTGTTTCAGTCTGTGTTTTTAGGCATAAACCGCTCTGATTACATGTTTGACTGTGGGGTGGATGGGACACCGTCTCTGAAGCAGATAGAAATAAACACCATTGCTGCCAGCTTCGGAGGCCTCACCTCCCGCACTGCGGCAGTCCACGGGTAAGGGACCATCTCTGGCCCGTGCTGCCAGGCACTGCAGCAGCTGTACCGTGTGGGCTGCGGCACTCCTTGTCTTTGCGTGCTCTCCAAAATCCTGCTCCCTGGGTCTGGTTGGTGACTGTCCTGGCATTTACAGCTTCTGTTTTTTTTTATTCCCCAGGCAGGTATTGAAAGTGCTGGGAAAGTCTGAGGAGGCATCGCGCCTGCTGCCCAACAACCCTTCAAAAGGGCTTGCCTTGGGTATTGCGAAAGCCTGGGAGCTCTACGGTTCGCAAAGGTAAGGAGAGAAGAAGTGCTAAAGGCTGGTTTGTCTTGTCTCCCTTGGGGATGCAAGTGTTTGGTTTTGAAATTGCACTTTCTGAAAGATGCCTGTTTGCTAGACAAGCCGCTCTCAAAAGCCTGTGGCACCCTGGGAGGAGCAGTGCGGTTGTCTTAGTGTGCGAGGCTGCTGTGTCGCAAAGGCAGAGAGGTGCAGAGGGAAACTGGAGGAGTTGTGTGGTTCAACAACCCTGCACAGAGCTCGCTTTTCTTCCTGCCTTTTCCCTTTGTGCTTATGCCCTGCACTGGTTTGGTAGTGACACAGGATTGATACTGCTCTCTGTTTGCATGCTGACCCATAGAAACACTGAAGAAAACAAGCAGGAGCAGTGCAGGAAGCCTAAATCAGAGATCAAAAGTTGGTGATCCTGGGTGCATGTGGAGTGTTTCTGGGTTTGATGATGTCTTTGGTATCTCTTCCAGTGCTGTGGTGATGTTTCTGGTGGAGGAAGTCCAAAGGAACATTTTTGATCAGCGATGTGTAGAAAATGAGCTTTGGAACAGGTAAAGGTTGACTTTTCCTGGGATGGGAAAGGGAGGAGACAGTACAGTTTTGGAAAAGGGAAGTGGAATGGAAGTGCTGCTGGATTGTGGCGTTTTCCTCAAGGCAGCTTGTGGGGTGTCTCCAGGCTCGCCAGCGGGCACAGCGTGGTGGGAGGAGTGTAGGAGTGGGTCATGGAAAGATGGGGGTGTGCAGAGTCTGCTTTTTACTTTGTCACATACTCAAGGATAAAGTCCCAGAAACAACTAAGTGTTTGGACTGTGAGAGGGCATGTCTTGGTATGTAACAGGGCAGCCTTTATCCTGGACTTATCTCCGTGGCCTGTTCACAGCTGTCTTCAGCGTTCCTTCAGTGGCCTCCTGCCTAGCCTCACGCCCACCTTTGTCTTCACATCAACCTCCGAAAGCCTCTCACCAGCTCTTCGCTGGAAATACCAGCAGCCATCAAAGCCTCTGGTCTCCAGGACTGATTCCTTGCTGATTTTGTGGCTGTGTAGTCCTCGGAGATGCACCAGTGATAACATTGCTGTGGGCCAAGTCTCTTAGACGAGACAATAAGGAGCAGAGCAGGATTAATGAGGGTCCTGCTTGCTCTATGACTTGGGATTGGGCACTGGGTATTTCATAAAAGCTTAATTAATGAAGCCTCAAGCCCATTGTGACAGATCTGGGCAAAGCAAGCAATGCGGCAGTGGAGCAAAGGACAGGAGAAGGAGGTGTTTTGATAGGGTCTAGCGCTGAGCCTGTGCTGGAGGGAGGTGTATGGCATTGCCTCTCCAGATCAGCAAGTCCACACTGCCGCTGTGTGGAGGAAAGACTGTAAAGCGTGAAGGAGGTAAAACATACAGGAAGTCCCTCGTCTGTCTCCAGCTCTTGGCTTTGAAGCCAACAGTGAGTGAATCTGTTGTGTTGGGATAAAAACCCCAAAATATTGATTTCTCTTAGAAACACTGTAGGAGTTGAAAGGTGAGTATGGAGAAATCCAGGGTGTTTAAGCCCATGTTCTGCTTCTGACAGTATTTGGGCTGGAAACGTAGGGCAGGTGCTAAAAATAGGGTCTGTTTTGGCCTGTAAGATTCTTCTGGCTCTGTAATACAAAGCCTTAGGTTATTTGTGAAGCAGCCTACAGGTCCTCCTTGTTGGATCTGCTGGTTCCACTTGTGATTTCTAGCTCAAGTAACTATGCCAGGCCTGGTGACTCTCCCACTCCTCTCCTAACAGGAATATTCGGGTCATCAGGAAGCGATTCAGAGATGTGTTTGAAAAGGGGTCTTTGGATGATGCCAAGAGGCTGTATATGTGAGTATGAGCCAAGGTGCGCGTTCCTGGCTGTGTGTTGGGCACACAGGGCCGTAAATGGAAATTTTCAAACAAAGCTGGTGGTATGTTTTGAGTGTAAATAGTGACTCTCAGAGAAAACGGTTCTCTTCCGTGCTCCAGGCTACTGCTTCCGCTTCCCCCTAGAGCTGAAATGATAATATTTTCACAGTCATGAGATTTTGCATACACACATCAGTCTCTTACAGCTGGAAACATCATTTCTCTCCTTCAAGCTGCAGCCTTCAGAGCTCTGCGGGGTCTTTACTTCCTCCACATACATCTGCTATGAAAAGTCCTGGCTATTTCAGAGGCTTCCACAAAGACATTTCCTGTTTACCATCCACGTGATGCTCTGCCAGTGGGAGTTGGGCTGGGTTATTAGCGCTAAAGGAGGAAGCATTACATGTCCTTATGGTATCTCTTGGGTTTGAATGCACTCAGCATCTTGCCGGCTCCCTGTGGGGTCAGGACATGTGGGTCGCAGACTTCCAAGTGGTGGCAGTTGGTCCCAAGTGTGATGTTTGAACTGTTTTCAGGGTACTGTGCTTGGAACTGTACAAGCCTAAAGGAAGAGATGGTTTCAGTGCCAATGTTTTTGCTGTAGTTAGGCTAATTTTTCCATGGTTTGACCTTTGGTGCCTCTGCTGTGTTTAATTAACGAATACATTTGTCATTGCCAGACAGTTAAGGGGAAAGTGTATCCACTGTACTTCCTCCAGAGCATCCTCTCCTCTTACTGATGAATGCCTTTACAATTACACTGCCTGGCTGCCAGAAATTTCTGTGCTGCTTTCCCTCACCATGGCACAGTTTGTGTGGCCAAAGCTTGGGTGTGTGGCACTATGGGTACGCTGACAGCCCTGCCCTGGCAGGATGTTTTGGTGCCTGGGCAAGTTGCTGAGTTGGTATCCTGCCTTGAATTGCCACTGAAGAAGAACCCTATTCCTTCCCAGCTTCAAGAATCTCTCAGGCCTGGCTCCCCGTGGCAAAAGCTATTAAAAGTTAGGTTCTAACCCTCCTGCTGGGCTGGGCGCGTGGATTATTGAGACTTTGGTTAGTCAGGGCAGAGGCCGGGTGTCAGCTCCCTGTGTCTCAGGACAGGGCAAGCCAGCTGGGGCTAAGTGGAGAGGAGCCAGGGCTTGCAGTCCTTGGCTTTCTCTGGCAGAGGCAGCCAGGAGCAGAACAGCCCAGGTGGCCAAGGAGAAGGGGCAAACGCTGTAACGTGTTCCCTGCCTGACCCCTTTGCAGCCCCTGTGGTGCTGGGGGGTTGGAGCAGAGGCTGGCCAGGTTCTGTGATGGCTGCTGGTTTCTGTTCCAGGGACGGCCAGGAGGTAGCGGTGGTGTACTACAGAGAGGGCTACGTGCCAAAGAACTACGACCAGCAGGTCAGTACTGACCGCCCTGCTCCGAGAAGCCACCCACGCTGTGGCCTTGCCCAGCAGATTTGAAACACCCCGTGATCCCAGGGGTGTCTGTCCTGCCCTGGATGGGGTCAGTCCTGTGCGGTGTGGCTGATACCATTGGGAAGCTCTGACTCCGCAGTGTGTCCCTGGTGCTCATGTAATAAGAGAAATAAGTGGCTTTTTTTCTCCAATAGCCACTCATGCGGTGACTTCTTGCCACAGCACTGAATTTCTTCTGTAAAATATGGGTTAACACAGGTGTTAGCACCTGCTTAAAGGGTTTAGACTTGATCCACAGATCACTTTCCTCTGCTAGGACTATTAGGCTGCAGGTGATGATAATACAGGCCAGAGCCTGCTGTTGTCTGGAGGTGGCAGCACTGGACAAGCTGTGGAGGGGGTGCCGGCGAAAGCTGTGGACTAACATGGCTGTGCTGTTTCCAGGTGTGGTGGGCAGTCTATGTATGCATGTCTGCTTGTCTCGGGAATGCTAGTCCCACCACCCATGTCTGCCAGGGAGGGAGTAGGCAAATAGTATGTCAATAACTGAACAGAAAGGAGTGGAGAAAACTTTTTGTGTGTGTTTTGTTTTTGCTGATGGGATGCTCACTCGCTTTCTTTCTGTCTCAGAACTGGGAGGCACGGTTGTTGCTGGAGAGATCGAGGGCAGTGAAGTGCCCTGACATTGCTACCCAGCTCGCAGGCACCAAGAAGGTCCAGCAGGAGCTGAGCCGGCCTGGAACACTGGAGGGATTGCTGCCCGGCCGTGCCGAGGCTGTTGCTCGAATGAGAGCAACATTTGCTGGACTCTATTCCCTGGACCTGGTGAGTGTGAGCAGGGCTGGAGCAGGAAT